AGCACAGGGTTAAATACAGAGTAAAGCTCCCTCTACACTGTCCCCAATCAAACACTCCCAGGACAGGGATAGCACGGGGTTAAATACAGAGTAAAGCTCCCTCTATTCCTTTATTAAAACACAAAGTTCAAAATATTAATGAACCAGCCCTTACTAGGGCACTGTATCAAAATAAAAACAGAAACTAATCATTGAACAGAAACTTGCATAATGAAACAGAAACTAAATTAAAGTAACGTTTTCTGGCATGATGATGAGTCCAGCCCCTGCGGTGCCCACCGGTCTCTAATAGCCTGTACTAGGCCAGTAAGATCCGTGCGCTCCCTCTCCAGGGATAGCTGAGTGCGGATGTAACTGCGGAAGCCGGGTAGACAGTCAGGAACAACAAGCCCCTCCTCATCCACAGCCTGGACCTGTTGATGGCCACCTTGGCCAGGCCTAAAGCTCCCTCTACACTGTCCCCCTGCCATCAAACACTCCCAGGACAGGGACAGCACAGGGTTAGAGACAGAGTAAAGTTCCCTCTACACTGTCCCCCCATCAAACACTCCCCAGGGCAGGGACAGTACAGGGTTAGATACAGAGTAAAGTTCCCTCTACACTGTCCCCCCGGCATCAAACACTCCCAGAACAGGGACAGCACAGGGTTAGATACAGAGTAAAGCTCCCTCTGCACTGTCCCTCCCATCAAACACTCCCAGGACAGGGACGGCACAGGGTTAGATACAGAGTAAAGTTCCGTCTCCACTGTCCCTCCCATCAAACACTCCCAGGACAGGGACAGCACGGGGTTAGATACAGAGTAAAACTCTCTCTACACTGTCCCCCCTCATCAAACACTCCCAGAACAGGGACAGCACAGGGTTAGATATAGAGTAAAGCTCTCTCTATGCTGTCCCCCATCAAACACTCCCAGGACAGGGACAGCACAGGGTTAGATACAGTGTTTATGAGGTTAGCTGGAAGTCTATCAATGCAATAATATTGCTTTGACATTAGAATGTGGATAGAGAAATTTGTCCACATGGTGAGTCAGGTGAAGGTCAGTATGCAGTATGCAGTGTCAGTGTGAGTGGTTTACTGGGGAGAGCCATTGCAATGGGAATGGAGTATAAAATTAGGGGAGTCTCGGCATAACCATACAGGCCTTCAGGGGAGAGCATGGCTGGACCTAACCTCAGGATCAGAAGCATTTCGCACACAGTTCACTGGACTGACTCCTGGGATGGAGGATGGACAAGTCCAATGAGAAACGAAATGCAACATTTCCATGTTTGTGGATGACACAAACATTCGGGGGAGCGGGTCGGGGACCGGAAATGTGAGGACAACACAAGGAGCCCTCAGCGAGACGTAGACAGGTTTGAGCCTGGTAGCTAGAACACGCCCTGGGGTAAATGTGAGGGTTTGGGGAGAGCTAGAAAGTGCCTCCTTGATCAGGTGGTGTTAAGGTCCAAATCAGCCAGGGGTGGCCTCACTCAGGACTGACTGAAAACTAACAATTCAATACGAGAGTAAACATGTCTTGCTGCATTTGGACAAAGCCTCTGTGAGTCTGCGCCTAGAGTATCATGTACAGTTCTGCTCTCCTTATCTAAGGAAGGATCGACTTGCCACAGAGGGGAAAGATGTGCAGGGTAGGGTGGACTGGCCATAGGTAAATGCAGGGTTACAGGGATGGTGTGGGGTCTGGGTCTGGGTGGGATGCTCTTCGGCATATCGGTGTGCACTCGGGCCAAATGGCCTGCTTCCATACTGTAGGAATTCTATGATTCTGTTCTGTGAGGGAGTGTAGCAAAGTTTCCTGATCCTTGGGATGATCCCAGTGTCCCAGGTGGAGAGATTGAGGAGACAGGGCCTGTATTGTCTGGGCTTTAGAGGTGACCCGATTGTAGGATACAAGACTCTTTCTCTTGACGAGTTTGGGATGCATGGAGGAGGTTTCCCCCCTGGCAGGGGTGGGGGTGTGTCTAGGACCAGGGGTGACACTTAGTTTCAGGAGGAGGTGTCGGCCATTTTGGGCATGAGACGAGAAGGATAAGGGGTCAGCCATTTTGCCACTGAGAGGAGGAGGATAACGGGTTGGCCATTTTAGGATGAAGACAAGGAGGTTAAGGGTTTGGCCATTTTGGGGCTGAGACAAGGAGGATAAGAGGTAGGTCATTTTGGGACAGAGACGAGGAGGATAAGGGGTTGGCCATTTTGGCACTGAGATGAGGAGGATAAAGGGTTGGCCATTTTGGCACTGAGATGAGGCGTTTAAGGGGTCGGCCATTTTGGGATGGAGACAAGGAGGTTAAGGGTTTGGCCATTTAGGGGCTGAGACAAGGAGGATAAGGGGTCGGCCATTTTGGGATGGAGACGAGGAGGATAAGGGGTCGGCCATTTTGGTACTGAGTTGCAGAGGAATTTCTTCCCTCAGAAGGTGGGGAATCTTTGCCACAAAGGGCAGTAGAGGCTCAGTCACTGAGAACGTTCAAGGCGGAGATCAAGAGCTTCTCTAGACATCAAAGACATCGAGGGATGGGGTGCGGGGAGCCACGATCTCAATCGAATGGCGGAGTAGGCCCGAGGGGCCAAATCTCCTGTTCCTGCTCCCGTTTCTTGGGCATTTCCATGAGGCCCAGGCTCAGGGAGGCCTCCGATGGTGCTGCCCCCTTCCCTCGTGACTCTGAGCTGATTCGAAGTGTGGAGCATGCGAGAGAAGGAGAGAGCCGAGGGACGAGAAAATCGGAGGCGAAAACCTTGGCCGAGTGGGCGACTGTTTAATTTTCTGTCGAGCAGCAGTGAGCGCTCCATCACCGCCCCCCGCCCCACCCTCCTCAGACCCACACGAACCCAAGTGTAAAAAATAAATTATACAAAAATACATTTCAGAATAAATAGTGAGCAGTGGCTGGGCCGTGGGAGGGGGTTCCTTGATTATCCATGGGGTGGTTGGGGGGGGAGGTGGTGGGAGAGAATGGGGGAAGGGGGTGGGGGGCATGGTGGTCCAGAAACCATTCAATGTAGAGTGGGCAATGCCAACTCAAAGATGGCCGCCCAGTGCTTTGTAAATGACCCGCACCCACCGCACTGACCATTCCCCACACACCCCACCCCCACGGGTTGCCAGGTGCCTAAAGGGTCACCAGGGTGGGGGAGCTGAGCGAATCGGACGATTGGTCACCACCGCTGCTGCTACCACGGCGATGGGCTGCGGCGCAGGGCTCCGGGGGCGTGTACAGGCCCGAGGCCTGGCCGGAGGGCCCGGGGGAAGGTTCCAGATCGAAGGCGGCGCCGGGGTAGGTGAAGGTCAGGCCGGCGGCGTAGGGAGTGCCCGAGGGGGTCCGCACCACGGTCGGGGTGTGCAGAGCCTCAGGCTCCGGCCCATCCCGGCTGGAGGAGGGCTTGATGGCCACTCTCGGTGGCTTGGGCCTGAAGGAGCAGTCCGTCGCCCTGGCGACCGCGTCCCTTGGCCTCTCCGAGGATCCCTTGGCCGTTGCGGACGTCAAGGGAGCCTGGGAATCGTCCGGGATTTTGCAGATGGGCTGGTGGGCTTCCAGGATGAACTCGAGTCTCTCCTTCTCCTTCTGCAAGTCAGCGATTTCCTTCTGCAGTCCCGATTTCACATCCTCCAGTTGGTCCGTTTCCTGTGAAAATCAATTGAATTGGTTCTCCCACACAGATTTAAACAGGGAGTCACAAACCACATTGTCCCCATCAAACAACCACAGAACACAGTGTTAGATAGAGTAAAGCTCCCTCTACACTGTCCTCCTGATCAAACACTCCCCAGGACAGGGACAGCACGGGGTTAGATACAGAGTAAAGCTCCCTCTACACTGTCCCCCATCAAACACCCCCAGGACAGGGACAGCACGGGGTTAGATACAGAGTAAAGCTCCCTCTACACTGTCCCCCATCAAACACTCCCCAGGGACAGGGACAG